ATGTATTGTACTCTAGGGGTAAGGCCTGTAAATGATTAATCAAGTCCGTGTCACTGTATTGCGATGAACAAACATCAAACGAATAATCCTGCCCCATCTTCCCTTGCAGCTGCTTCCGTATCCAGTCCCTCATCTTGGGGTTGCGCTTTTCGTCCAGCCACCCGAGGCGCTGGACCTCCTTGACGATCCACCTGCGCTTGCTCTGCCGCGTCAGGACCCAGCCGAGCCCCGCGTCGTACGCGAGCCGCCAGAACGCAAAGTACACGAGAAAAAACGGCTTCCGCAGGTAAGAGGGCAGCAGGAAGAAGAGTAGCAGCTGCGCGCCGAGCAGGGCGAGGTTGAGCAGGTCAAAGTGCGACTTTGGGTAGGCGGGGTGGAAAAGGGTGAGGACGTCGTGCGTTGTGGGGACGCAAAAAACTGGTGCGCCCGATATTTCAGTGATTGCTCTTGGGCTTCGAGGACGATATACGACGCACCTTCGCCGCTCGGAGTCTTCCCCCACACCACCTCCTCGCGGGGCCGTACCCTCTTCTCATCGCCGGAAAGTTGTTGTTCCTGTTTCTCCCTGGACAACCGCCGCTGGCGCAGCTCGCTCTGCGCTGGCGTCGCCATGTTGAATGGACACGACCAAGAAGACGTAAGGAACTTACGGCCTCGTCGACTTCAGCAGCCACCCTTTAATCGTTCTAGGTCTTAGGTTTTCACGTGGCGGCGGGAACTGACAAACATGCCCAAACACGCCTACAAAACTTCAAATTCGCGACATCTTGCGTCTTTGACACGTCCGTCTCCGTCGTCGCGCGCGTCTTCAGACTTCGACGTTGTCGGGGGGATGAAGACGAAGACGCGTGCTGTGTCCGCGCTCTGCTGATCGCTTCTATGGCGCGTGATGTCATGCATCTGCGCGGTTTCTCCGCGAACTCGGTCTAGTGCTTATGCCTATTTATTGACTGACTCCTTTGCAGGATATGGCAGCAATCCACCACGACAATGGCACGGGCGTTGTATGGGAGTCTGGCCAATCTTGAATCCACTGCGAATGCTGCTCGGATGGTCCAGGCGTTGTAGGTACACATGAGTTCGTGAGATGTGACATTGTACCCTACTTCGCTACGGACGGTTTCCTCCACTATCCCTTGTTATTCACTCCCAGCTTGACCAACCCATCGAGCTGGGAGTTGCTAATGCAGGGGGAGAGTGAGCGCTACTGTCCTCGGTAGGAGACGCTAGTTCGGTGACTCTTCTCACAGTGAACTGTTCATCTTACGAGGCGTCTTACATTCATCATGTCCGAGGAATTCTTTTGTGTACTTATCCGCAAATATGTGGTCTTGTTCATCTCCTGTATCTAATTACACCCAACTATAATTGGGGGAGCTTGCTCCCCCTTTGTCGGCATAGCGGTCTCGAAATGCAAAAGGGATCTCCCACGCCACCCAATGGCTTGTCAACCCTAGCGTAGGGTTACAGGCTCAGTGGCGCTGCTGCCGCCACGTGCATTGCTCGGGTGTTCCCGGTGGCCTTGCCTCCCGCCTCAACCCACTCACCGGGGCTTTCCTTAGGGCCTGTTTGGTTGCACGGGTAGGGTAGGGTAGGGTAGGGTTAAAGTACATGTATTAGGAAATTTGTGGCGTTTCAGATACAACCGAGGAAATTTCCTGTTCGCAGGTCTTGCAGAACGTGTTCAGTGGACTCAAGTCTAGCCCCAGGTCTGTCACCAGAGTGACCGCACCTGTATGGGCATCTGTGCACGATGCCGGTAAGCCGAGCTTGACCGGTCAGTTGTAGAGTATTCGGCCAATCAGCAGAGCTGGCTGTTGCCGAAGAACCATTGTGCTGCTCAAATGAGGAATAGACGCACGTGGGTCTAAGCTCCAGACTTGAAGAAGCAGGATCCATCCATAAATAGCGCATGTCACACCCTGTGACTCAGGGTGAGAATAGATGCCACTGGGACCGCTGGGAAACTGAGGACCCAGCTAACCCTACCCTACCCTACCCTACCCTACCCGCACAACCAAACAGGCCCTTAGGTCTTAGGAATCACACCTTCGCGATGGTCGTCTGCTCACATTGAATAATAGGATTCAGCCTACTATGAGAATCAAATACACAATATTGGGAAAACATTTTGATGGAATGTGAGATATGATTGCAAAAAAGAGGAAATACCAGACTCTCCCTGACCTGTCACCTCATAGGCTCATACAGCTCTTCTGTCTACAGTCTATGGGAAATTTAAAGAGCTCAAAAAAAGATAAGCAATGTGAAGCATGTGGAATATACTGAGACTCAGATAAATGCCCCTCCTTTGGGAGGGGTTCTGGCACCCTTGAATTGCGTCGCACTTTCCATCGCACCGGCAAAATCCGGCGTGCTATGTTTGGCCCTAGTGGCACCACTACTGAACAAGGACTTGGCCATGGTCAGGAATCCATCTCAATGTTCACACTTAAGTCCCGCTCAACTATGTAATCAGTGTTGGTTTGTGGATGCCACCAGGTACAGATGAAGGCCTATTGTGAGCTAGAACTTAGAGGTACAGGGAGCACATAGTATTAAGCATAGATCCTTGTACCTCAGAATTTTGAGTGTTGTATGTCATGGCTTGAGAGGGATTTGAGTGTATGTGCACTCCATCTAACATGGGTATTCAATCATTCTAGTTTTCTGGGCCTCCATGCCATACATAAGTCTGTGATGGACAATTTACAAATAAGTAGAATCAAGAAAATCCATGTCATTCCATGGCTTATGATCATGAGGCTGAACGGACTGTACGATAAAACTATGATGTGAGGTGGATGCCAGATGTCCAGGCAACAGACATGCACCATTAGGCATTCTTGGAGAGGGGGTAACTATCTCTTAGACTACTTAGGATACAACAGCACAGGACATTCTTCCATCAGCGGGCATCAGTTCGTTTGATGGTATTGCAAAGGTCGTCAACCAAAATAAGGATGTGTTTCATACTGGGCGACCAGCCTCCAACTATGGTCCGCTGGTTGCTCTCTTTAATTCTGTGTTGGGTCGGCTCGCATATCAACTTTCGCATCTTGAGGACATATCAGAGATTCATCCTGCCTCATTCCGAGCAGCTCATGAGCTGGTCACCCTGAGTCTTGGTAGCTATCCATTAGAGGACATTTGCATTGATTCGCTCTCTCGCCCGTTGCAGCAATTCCTCGGCATGCCATTTACGCGGAAGCCGAAGATTGATGGCATCGAACCTGATATTGCGGTTGGGGGCACTGAGCCCTTTGGTCTCATGGAGGTCAAGAACGAGGTCGGCTTGAGCGGGGATGCTTCATTGCAAGCTGGTTTAATGTATGCTAGAATTGTGACGGAAATGATGGGAAAGGTAGGCTAATTCGTTGTATCAGGTGTTTTGTCTATACTGATGAGGATATTACAGATGTTACTCTGACGGAAGCAATCAAACTGCCCTGCCGTTCTCATTGGCGTCATGGGGGATCTCCTGGAGATTGCGATTGCTACCTACACAGATGGCCCTTATATCGACTGTCTTTTCTCCTACCAGCTGTGTTTAGGCTTCCATGAGCTCACTGTAGTCCCTCGTGTGGCTTGTGTCTTCAAGGCTGTGAAAGAGGTGTTTACAGGGCTAGAGCGGTTCTACTCGGAAATCGACAATGTGCCGCCACCGCTGGGGATCTCCTACTTGTTTCTGGTTGCCGCCGCCTTGCCCTTCTTACGAGCATCTCATGCCGCATCTGAAATTCACTGGCCGATTATCCGTCCCGGGTAAATCCTATCAAATAGCAGATGCTTCACACGAGAGACGCTCTAGTCTTTACCTTGCTACCCTACTGAACTTGACGAACCTGCGCATGCGTCATCTGTCCCTGATGACAATGGCAGACAGGTTGTTGTCGAGTTCACCGCAAAATATAACTCAGATGCACATAAACTTGTAGCGTAAGCTGGACTCGCACCAGCGCTACATGCCTGTATACCCGTGCTTGGCAGCCTCACAATGGTTGTGATGGACCATGTTCATGGGGACATGGCATGGGCTTCAGAGGCTCTGGGCAAGCCCCTTCCATACAGCATCTACAAGGATGTGAAGAACGCTGTTGAGCTGCTCCATGCTCACAATATTGTCTTTGGTGATCTTCGCACTCCGAATATAATGTGCATACCTGGGAAGAGTGGCTCAGATGAAGCTGCGCATTCATATGCACAGACATACAACAATCACCAAGGACCAAAAGAAATAAACCTAACACCCGCAGTATGGGTGAGGCGGTCTGAGACAACTGAGGGGTATTTTGATAGTTCGAGGGGGAAGGAGGAGTAAGACGTCGTAGGGTAGTCCATAGGAAGACCTAGAAAAATAAAACAAACACTTTGACGCCTAAAAACAAATGCTAGTTGACGCTGATAAGCCCCAGCGATCTTCTGACCCCCGAAATTGCGAATTTGACACACCATACATCCCCTCCAAAGTTTATTCGACACCACCTGTCGAACCTCTTACGCGACAAGTAACCGACGAAGGGTTCTGGATTTAATTCCGGACCTTCTAACGTCCTCAAGGCAGGCGCAGATCACCGAAATGATTTAGCTCCGCAGCCAGACGCTCCGAAGTCATCCGGAAGAATA